TATATAAACTTTGTCATTCCGTTTATAACTCCTCGAAATACTCTTGTCAGACCCAACAAATATATATATTCTATATTCTATATATTCTTGATCCGCGTAAAATTATAGCCATGTACGTCTGTCTGTCTGTTGTAATAACGAATTGAGATAGAAGGCTAAAATTTTGCACACGTGTTTATTTTTCCAGTAGGCAGTTTAAGTTCGTAAATGGGCCATGTAGGTCCACGTTTGCATATAGCCCCCATATAACGGTACTTCCCTATATTTCAAATTTGGTATTTGAAGTTCGAAATGGATACTACAGCTTATGCCAGAAAATTATCTGTTCAGATCCACGTCTTCGAATAGCCCCCATACAACGGTACCTCCCGATATTCGGTATTTTGATGATTTTAGCGACATTATTCACGGGAATTGTTTCAAATCTGGTATTTGAAGTTCCAAATGGATACTACACCCTAAGACAGAAAATTGTCTTTGCAGGTCCACGTCTTCGTATAGCCCCAATATAACGGTACCTCCCTATATTCGGCATTTTGATGATTTTAGCGACATTATTCACTGGAATTGTTTCAAATTTGGTATTTGAAGTTCCAAATGGATACTACACCCTAAGACTGAAAATTGTCTGTGCAGGTCCACGTCTTCGTATAGCCCCCATATAACGGCACCTCGCTATGTTCGGTATTTTGATGATTTTAGCGACATTATTAACCGGAATTGATTAAAATTTGGTATTTGAAGTTCGTTATGGGAACTACAGAAAATTGTCGGTGGGGGCCCGGTTTCGAATTTGAATATGGTAATGGCTTATGACAAACAATGCATATGTATGTCCACGTCGTATAGACCCCAATATAACGGCTATATTCGGTATTTTTAAAATTTTAACAGAATTTTTTAAGGATTTTATTTTTTGAAAATTTCCAAATTCGTTGCAAATGGTGGAGGGTACTAAAAGTTCGGCCCGGCCGAACTTACTGCTTTTTAACTTGTTAAGTTTATCTTTTTACTTTACATTTGTTGTGACGCGCGAACATTGAAATGTATCAATACATTTTTCAACGTTGTTAGCCCTACCCAAGGTAGATGCAAAGACATAGAAGTGTAAAGACGGGACAAGACAGAGTCAAGATATGGCAACCCTGTGAAAATACCTCTGTTGTTATGATATCGTAACAACATAGTTAGCAATGTTAAGCGATTAAAACCGCTTAGGCAATATGCAATTAATTGGGAAAGTTTATAGAGTAAAACTTTGAAACCCAATTTTGGATTTTTCAAATTTTTGTTTGTCTTATATTTCTATAAATGGGTTTTTTTATATTAACATGGTCCTGTCATGAGCTGTTATTTGGATAGTACAGACACAAACCATTTGCTCAAAATGTATTTTGTCTAGTCTTTACCGTTTTAGGTCTTTGGTAGATGTACTAGGTAATCAAAACAAATTGTTGTAATGATGAATTCTCCCTAAATGAATGCAACAACAAATTTGTTTATGTTTTCTTCCCTAAAAGTACCTTTTTATAATTTTTCAAATAATTTAAGAGCATGTTTAGAGTGAAACCAGTACAAAAAATTAAAAGAAAATGAAAAAGTGCCCGATTTGCAATAAGAAATATTGTGATGGAAATTTAACAATATTTAGTGTTCCTAAAGATGAAGGAAGGAGGTTGGAATGGAGTGCAGCTTGAGGAATTAAGTTAGCCCCAACATCTAAGATTTGTATGGACCATTTTAATCCAAAACACATCACGGGGAGTAGTGCAAGAATTCGACTCCAATGAATTCGATCCAATTTGTTGCGATTCTGTTCCTGGATATTATGTTGTTGGCTATTGACCAAATTATTGAGATTTTGATATTCATATCCTGCTGTTGCTGCTATTGAATATGTGGTGAATGTATGGCCATATGCTTTGGAGTGTTGGTACCCTGATTTTGCATAGAACGATATTGGTGCTACGTTTTTTTTTTTTTTTTCTTTAAAACCATTTTTTCTATACTTTCTATTGAATATAAATCGTTAATGACAAAAGGCACACAAATTAAAATGTAAACAAACACCTCGTTTCTAATTGGTTGAAACAAATTTGCCGCAACCTTTAAATGTCATGGCGAATCGATGTTTTTCGCCTTAGATGTCAATTTTGACATTTGAGGGTACCACAAAAGTTGCTTTGTTGTAGGAATTCGCCGATGCGGTTACCTGTTAGATCTACCTTGGCCCTACCAATTAAATGTCAAATTTACAATTTGCACATTTCTGCTCGGCCAAATTCATGTAGCTAAAACAAGCAGAAATGTGCATCACTCAGCGCCATTTTCTTCTCGAGAGAGCTGAAAGTTTTGCTAGTTTTTGTAGTACGGGAACGCGTTGTAGCAGAATTAGTACTAATTTGTAGGTTCTGGAACACAACTTTAATTTAGAAAAGTTGGTCAAAAAGCACAAATAAAAGCAACTGCCGACTCAAAACTATTTTATATTTCAGTAGTTTTTGGATTATTTTTTAATACTTTCTCCTCCTGCCGACTACTGGCAAATCTCTTTTTTTCTGTCCCTAATGTCGGCATTAAATAATGTAACTTAAAAATGTTGTCATTACCATATCATACAATCCTCACATGGAACCAAGATTTATTTTTGTTCAATTCTTTAATAACCTTAAGCTATCGCACATTCGATAAAGGAGATAATTGTAACTAATCAAATATATTAGTTGTGTTCCAGTACTTTTTTAGTAGTAAAACTAGCAGAAGAGAGAACAGTTCGAAATATCATTCTCAATTAGGTGTGCTCAAAAAATAAGGGAACGGAAAATTAGCAGAAATGCGATAAAATGTCAAAATTCAAAATTCCAAGAGTAAACAGTCCAAATCGGACTGGTGAAACCTTACTGAAACGGACGCCAAAATTTAAAAAAATTAGTATTGAAGACGATACGTTAAAATTAATAATCTATAATAATAATTAATAATCTGATTCATCATTCAGCCAGTCCTTTTCACTACTGGAATCATCCAAAAGTGCTCCATATTTTCCTTTTTTTTTTTTTGTAATACAAATATTAGTTTTTAAGTTGATCATTTCTTTATTTTTGTTATGACGCGGGAACATTGAAATGTATCAATACATTTTTCAACCTTGTTAGCCCTGCCAATTAAATGTCAAATTCACAATTTGCACATTTCTGCTCGGCCAAATTCATGTAGCTAAAACAAGCAGAAATGTGCACCACTCAGCGCCATTTTTTTCTCGAGAGAGCTGCAAGTTTTGCTAGTTTTTGCAGTACGGGAACGCGTTGTAGCAGAATTAGTACTAATTAGTACTAATTTGTAGGTTCTGGAACACAACTATTATTTGTGTAATATAACCTTTTCTTCTACACGGTGTCCCAACTAGAATGCAATTTTAAATCAAACACATATATTTAAAAAAAAAAATTTGAAACATTATATGGTAAAGCAGACAGAGTGAGGTTATGTATTGAAGAAGATATTGTGTAAATGACCGCTGCAGCTTTGCTAGCACACACTCGATCTTTTAATGAAATTTTCAATGACCATTTTGCATGAATGCTGCGGTATTTCATTAATGCAGTGCCAATTACCATAAGCCATTTTTTTCGCATAAGCCATCGAAAAAAGAAACTCAAAGAAAATATCTAATTGTGTTAAATTGTGCGATCTAGGCGGACACTAACACGACAGCGAAATGATTAATTGAGTAAATGAATTGTTTTTATGACTGTATGAAATGTGGCGCCGTCTTGCCCTCCCATTAATTTCTTCAATTTTAGACGAGAAACAACTGTTTATCATTTCACGATACCTAGCACCAATGACTGTTTGCGCTTGACTTGCCTCATTTTCGTAAAAAGGTCTAATGATTCCTCCAGCCAAAAAAAAAAAAAAAAAAAACACACACACACAGTTATAAGTTGAGGATGCATTTTCTTCTCGTAATTCACTCGAGGATTTTCCTCACTCTAAATGCGACAATTCTGCCTATTGACAAAGCCATCAAGATGAAAATAGGTTTCGACACTGAAGATGAATTAGTCGGCAAATTCAGCATTTTAATCTTGGTACTCCAATTTTATTTATATCTTTAGTTCCTGAGTCAATTAAACTTTGTATGCATGAAGATGCAAACCTTTCGTCGAAATTCTCTGCATAATGGATTTGGAGACGCAAATTTGCTAGACTTGGTGCTAAATTGTTCGAACTCGTCAAAGGTGTGTTGTTGCAATTTTCGAACTGTAGAGGGAAAACTTTCACCATTTTGGTTAAACAATTTCACAAAAATAATACGTTGTTCATTCGTGAAGCGCTCTATTTTTTATCTTCGTATCTTCTACTTGCAAACAATAACACTTGTCAAATGTCAAACAGTGACACGTCGAATGGCGCCAAATATCACAATTGTGATCTAATTGGTACACTCTTTACCTGTCATGGCGCGATTAAATAGTAAATCTTTGACAAATCCTTTGTTCCTCTACGAAAAAACCAGCCGATGGCTTAAGCCAGTCCAAAAATTGTTTATGTATTCTCGCCCTTACTTGTCGACCTTATAATTGGTTCATGAGTGTGTATCACAAACTGTTTTCACGTTACAATTTGTTCCATTCCATTTGTTTCAAAATATTGTGATTGCACGTTTAAAGTACATGTTTATGTTACGCTTGTTGTTATTCGCGTAACCCAACATATGTGAAAACATTCCGAAATAATACACAAACAATCACGCTTTATACATTTATTTTAAACAATCATTGTATTGCCGTCGATATTAATATATGTTAAAACAACGTACTTGGTTGCATTACTAAAAGTGAATAATTCAAATTCTGAAGAAAATTATGATAGTGTCCAAATACTGGAGAAAACACTAATACCCACAAAGTGATTAATGTGATTTTGTGATTAAATAATATTAATAGAGTAAAGTAAATCGAACCATTAAATTGAAAGTTTGGGTAGTAGTGAACACCATGCTTTAGCTGTTCTCTCTTCTGGAATCTAAATACGCCTTTACAAAGAGTACGTATCGCTGAGTTGGTAAACGACAATCCACTAAATAAAATAATCCACTAAATATGTACATGAAATTAAATCTTAAAACAAAAGGGGTTTCGGTTTGTATTCGCATAGTTTTTCTCATTCAGATGTCGTTACTTTTTAGATTCTACCTGCTTGCGGTGGGACTGTGATACTGAATACAGTATTCAAAGTGCAGAAGTGTGTATATGAATGGGTACATACATAAACAGGTATGAATATAGCTTACGATTAGAATTTTTCTAAAAAGTAATATGCAATACGTCTCTAGTTCTAATACTAATAATGTAATAATAACAATGATAATAAAATAATGGAAAAACTCTAGTTCAGTAAAAACTCTTTGATTTTTTCGAAATTTTTTCCAGAGGTAGGTATTTTTACCCTGATTCCGGGAAACTATTTTTTCTTGGGGACGGACCCGGGACCCCGGCCTGGACAGGGACCCTATTACCCGATAGAGACAATATAGATATCGTTGGAAAGCTTATGAAAATACCCATCCAACAACGGCTACGCGAAATAAACCTTTTTTATTTAAAACATAATTTTAATGAACTGGTTAGAATCGGGTTATGCGGATGGAAAGACCCATATCTCTGGACACAGTAAAGGTATTAGCACAAACTGTAGCATTTTGGAAAGGTAAGAGTGCTAGCTTTAATTTGGCATCAATTTTGTTGAACCCCATAATGGGACCTTTTTGGACCTTTTGGGGGTTTTATAAAAAATCCGGGTCCAAAAATTCGATAATTTGACTATAACCATGTGCCCACTTGTTGGATGGGTATTTTCATAAGGTTTCCAACGATACCTATATTGTCTATATCGGTTAACTGGATCCGGGTCTAGTCAGGGTCTTGAACCCGGGCTTTGGGGTCAAAAATCTAGGGTCCCGGGATCAGGGTAAAAATACCTACCACTGGAAAATTTTTAAAAAAAATTGAAGAGTTTTTACTAAACTAGAGTTAAGCCAAAATAATTATTAATACAAAAATAATGACATGTAGATAGGAATGGAAAAATAACTCACAAATCTGTCCATATAGTCACATTTGTCGTATACAGGGTTTGGGACTGTACCATCTAGCAATAAATTTTACTCATTTCACCCGAAGGTTCACTTCCACCTCGGAACCACCTTACCATATTTTCGTCGGCACTATTTTGAATCTACATCCACCCGTCTCTTTATTTTTTTTGGAGAAACTGCACATTTACGGAATGCTTCTTTGTATATACAGATTGTTGAGCTTCATTTACCCACTGCACCTGCAGAATATACTGCTTGATAAGTCTGTTGATCTAGAGGCACTCTCCTAGGCGGAAGTTATCTACCAACCAGAATTTTATTAGGATGACTGTGTTTATATCACAAGTATTTTATTATGCTGTCTCTAAATCTTCGTCTCCTCCTGCAGATGATCGAGAGGTCATAAGAAGGCATCATGTTGCGGTTCTAAGGGCGGCGTTCTGCCAGGACAGGAGCAGCATAGTTTACTACATATCGGCCTATCGTGTTGTAGGAGGTTAACAAGGTTTCCTTTTTAGCTCCCCAAGTGCTGCCGACATTGGGGTAGTTGGTGGTTGAAATAAAATGACATGTAGATATATTTAACCTTATTATGGCAATATGTTTTATTCGGTTGTCTGCTCAAAATATTCGGATATGAAAACAAAATTATATCTGGTTCTAACGAAAGATACAATATGGGTATCGTATAAAAGTTTATGGGAATACCCATCAAACAAACCATTCGGGAAACAGTCAAAACATGACCTATGAAAGGTGGTCCAATAACGTTTTTAACGTTCCCACGCCTCACATTACCACCCCTGCCGACCGAGGGGGCGACCTCCCTTTACGGAGGGATCGCGTACACATCATGATCCGCATCATATGGGAATTCAGTAGGAAATTGAAAACCAGCTACAGAATCTAATTCATCAGCTTGTTTGTCAAATAATAAAACATGTATGTTAATTATTTAAAAATAAAATTATTCTTGATTCATTAACTTCTAAACTCATGCCAAAATCTACATTACAATACACAGAATTAAAGTCAACACACATTTTACTAAGAGGTTCGCCCATTGAATAATTCGTGCGGTGAAAATCAGTATATAATAATTGGTAGTATCTACTAGATCTAAACGGAACATTAATTCTAATAGATGAGATTAGGAAATCTGAAGGTATATTACCATTTAATATTTTTAGTACAAACATAGAGTTCAACATAATACGTCTGCTTTTAAGTGTAGGCAATCTAATTTTAGCCTGCTAGCATAAGAAGGCAAAACAAAATCACTATTCCAATGTAAACCTCGTAAGGCAAATAGCAGAAATTGTTTTTGCACGGATTCTATTTTATCTGAGTATATTGCATATTGAGGATCCCATACAACAGAACCATATTCCAATATAGGTCTAACAAGAGACGTAAATAACTGTTTTGTTATATATGGATCAGAAAATTCTTTGGCCCACCGTTTAACAAAACCTAAAACACCATTTGCTTTATTTATCATTGTTATTACATGGCTATTAAAATTTAATCTAGATCGACAAATGAATCTACAGTTGATAATGAATGACCGTCAATATTATATTGTAATATCAGAGAAGAAGATCTGGAGAAGCACATATGCTTACATTTGCTTAAATTTAACTCCATACAATTTAACCTGCACCATTTAAAAAGGCTATCTAAATCGTTTTGAAGTAAACTAGCTCGTTTATCACAATTATGGGAAATGAATAATTTAACATCATCTGCGTACATTAACAATTTCGAGTAATTTATTGAATTAGGTAAATCGTTGATAAATAAAAGAAAGAGGGCCGGTCCAAGGTGACTTCCTTGCGGAACACCCGATGGAACGTTAATCGTTTTGGATAGATACCCTTCAAACAAAACCAGTTGTGTTCTATCTTTTAAGTAAGATGATATCCTTTTGGCTATGCTTGTGTTGAAACCCATATAATTTAATTTATATATTAGGAGTTCATGGTTAACCCTATCAAAAGCTTTACTAAAATCAGTATAAATTGTATCAGTTTGTTTACGCTGAACAAATCCTTTTATTACTGTTGACGTAAATTGTATAAGATTTGTTGTAGTTGAAAGACCACTACGAAAACCATGCTGATTCAATATAGATTGAATTTTCTGTAAAATTACTGCAGTAACTAATTTTTCGAACAATTTTGGTATGGCACTTAATTTTGCAATTTCTCTATAATTTGACACATTAGTAAGACTACCAGACTTATGTAAAGGTATAATATAAGATTTTTTTCAGAAAGTAGGAAAGTGACCAAATTTAAGTGAATAATTAAACAATATAGTTAACGGAAGTGCTAATGTTTCTGAACAATATTTAAGAATTGTATTAGGTATGCCATCCGGTCCTGGACATTTAATAGATTTTAAACTACGCAGACTATTGGACACATCCTGACGTTGTAGAAAAGGCATTCAAATTTGATCAGCCTGTGATAACTTATAAGGATACGAATCTTTAATTTGGCAAGATGTACTGGAATAGGTTGTGGCAAAAAAAAATCTGCGAAACATTCAGCAATATCTGTGCCTGTGACAAATTCTTTATTGTTATATTTCAATACTGAGGGCCTTGAGGAAACTTTTCGTTTTAGATTAACAAAATCATAAAAAGATTTAGGATTGGATTTAAAATTATTTTTAATAGAACAGTGTGGCTTGTTTGTTCGGGATACCGTAGTAAATGGTCTGGCTTTATCCCTTTATTGTTGTTTTTATAAAAACAACGTTTGTTAATTAGTGGAGAACGATGGTAATGTTTACCAGGGGGTAAGGCAGGGAATACCTAGGTTTCGGAAAGAGCCACCAATCCTCATCAGTTCCCTTGTTTTTGTCTGGGATATTCTCCCCAGAAGTTATTTTAAAAATAACTTCTATGACAAAAAACATTTTTTTTACCCAAGTGACGAGATCGTAAGCTCAATAGAAGAGGAACCAAAGAATTAAATAAAACTAAAATTCTCTTGGAAAGTCTTTTAAATCTTACAACCGCACTTATAAACATTTACATCTTTCTCCACTTGTTATGCTTTCGTTCAGCCTGAATGAAGTAGCATAACCATGTAAGTTGGTTTTGTCTGTTACAACAAAAACCCCTTCGTCGACCGTGCCTTGTCTATTAATAGAACAGTGTGGCTTGTTTGTTCGGGATACCGTAGTATTTTGTTGTTGCAAAATGGTCTGACTTTATCCCTTTATTGTTGTTTTTATAAAAATAACGTTTGTTTATTAGTGGAGAACGATGGTAATGTTTACCAGGGGGTAGGGCAGGGAATACCTAGGTTTCGGAAAGAGCCACCAATCCTCATCAGTTCCCTTGTTTTTGTCTGGGATATTCTCCCCAGAAGTTATTTTAAAAATAACTTCTATGACAAAAAACATTTTTTTACCCAAGTGACGAGATCGTAAGCTCAATAGAAGAGGAACCAAAGAATTAAATAAAACTAAAATTCTCTTGGAAAGTCTTCTAAATCTTACAACCGCACTTATAAACATTTACATCTTTCTCCACTTGTTATGCTTTCGTTCAGCCTGAACGAAGTAGCATAACCATGTAAGTTGGTTTTGTCTGTTACAACAAAAACCCCTTCGTCGACCGTGCCTTGTTTATTAATAGAACAGTGTGACTAGTTTGTTCGGGATACCGTAGTATTTTGTTGTTGCAAAATGGTCTGGCTTTATCCCTTTATTGTTATTTTTATAAAAACAACGTTTGTTTATTAGTGGAGAACGGTGGTAATGTTTACCAGGGGGTAAGGCAGGGAATACCTAGGTTTCGGAAAGAGCCACCAATCCTCATCAGTTCCCTTGTTTTTGTTTGGGATATTCTCCCCAGAAGTTATTTTAAAAATAACTTCTATGACAAAAAACATTTTTTTACCCAAGTGACGAGATCGTAGGCTCAATAGAAGAGGAACCAAAGAATTAAATAAAACTAAAATTCTCTTGGAAAGTCTTCTAAATCTTACAACCGCACTTATAAACATTTACATCTTTCTCCACTTGTTATGCTTTCGTTCAGCCTGAACGAAGTAGCATAACCATGTAAGTTGGTTTTGTCTGTTACAACAAAAACCCCTTCGTCGACCGTGCCTTGTCTATTAATAGAACAGTGTGGCTTGTTTGTTCGGGATACCGTAGTAT